ATGGATGGCTTTTTATAGGTAGTGTCATGCCCTCATAGGCGTACTTGGCTCAGATTTCTAATGAACTCAATCTCAGCAGGGCGGTTGCAATCTGAATTGCATGCTTAGAGGTGTCTGTGGTTGCGACGAACAGTGTCAAAAAAATCATTACTTAAGTAAAGGAACTGGAAATAAGGACCAGAGCACTCCAAAATGCACAAAGCTCAGTCGGGAAATACTAAAGAAACAGGGCTATCTGCCACCTACCAAAACTTACTTCAGGTTTTGCATATAATGTTGTGTGGCCAGGACTTTTAGGGAGGCCAGGTGTATCTCCAATCACGACGCAGTTGTCCATGGACTGAACTGAGTCTGTGCGGGTATATCTAAAAAATGCCAGTCAATATTTTCAGTTATCTGACACAGCTTTAAAAAAACTCTCGCAACCTGTTGAATAGTAGAGAGAAAGCAAATGGAACGGCTATTTCTGCTCCCTTCATTTCAGCAGCCGTACGGTGAGGATTTACACATTTGAGACCCAGTTAATTTGAGTGATCTCTGTCATCCAAAATTAATTATCACATAGCAATAACTACGTAAAGGCATGAGGCTTTGTGCCACCAGCGCGATCTACTTACAAATATGACAGTTTATCCCATTTATTTTGTATTTATATGAAGACTTTTTGCTCACGAAATCCTTTATTCCATTGTAGACTACTGCCGACCGCCTCCAGGACCTCCAAAGAAAACTGGAAGCGTGCGTCGTACCTCTTACTGACAGTATGGATCCCAAGTTTGGAGGTAGTGTGGAAAGGGAGGCCCTGCTTGAAGAGGTGATGCGAGTGAACAAAGAAATTCACGATAATGTGCAGCTGCTCCAGTCATTCGAGAGAATGCTTCGACGCGAGAAAGAGGTATTTACTCTTAACCTTGTTGCCCAGACGGTAACCTTCCACCATATACGACGGTAGCAATAGTGGTAAGGTTTAGCAGATTGTTTAAGTCGAAGCCTTTTATAAGGGACTGTATTTGTTAAAAATCGTGCAACTTTCCTAACTATGTAAAAGTTTGATCATTACTCGCATACCAGCGTGAATGCATTTAGAAAAAATTAGAAATAATAGTGAACAGCACTGGGCATATTTAAAACTTAAATAAATGTAAGAAGTACTAAGTATATGTTAAGAAAAATAAAAATTTCCCGAGAACCTCCAAGTTCCGGAGACGTAAAAAATTGCTATAATTTAGAGCAATGCATTTAAATCTTTTCGTAGGTTGAACACAGAACATAACCAATTTCTTTATCTAAAAAAGCTTTTCTTTACTCAAAATATTTCACGCATATTACCATTAGTGGATAACAATTTTTTGAATATCGTCCAATTAAGTCTGGCATCATCTTTGTTTTCTGTGTCTCCATTGAAAAATTGCGCTTCTGTTCGAAGTTTATATCAAAACCTTTAAAAGAAGATATATATAAAGAGTATTTACCATAAGAAAGTGCTTTTGGATATTTGTTCTTATAAAGATGACCATGTGGATCATATTTAGGAATGCCTCAAAACAGCAAACCACATTGTCGAACATACGGAACGTCCGCTCGATAACTGGGATATTTTTATTCCTAAGATTAATTTTAAAAAAAACTTTCTATAATAAGTTACCTCTTTAAAAAAGTGCTTTAATTAGATATTCAGCTGACGAATTTCTGTGTATATTACGTTTTCTCAAGGTAACGTCACGATGAAATTTGAGACGTTTGGCAATTATTTTAAGCTACCTCAAGATAAGCTATTCAATTTGACTAAAAATGAAAATCACTTTTCTCTTTATAATGGATTACTTTTCGCCAGAGTTGATTACTTCCAGGATGCGCTATAAGCTCGCGAATGCAAAAAGAATGGCCATATATATGGACATTTTTTAAAATAATTATTCTTCTTCTGTCTGTTGCGTTCCTAAAATACACATAAGAGGAATTTATAGTTTACAAAAAAGTATATTTCTACTTGACTTACATGTAATAAGGCCTGTTTTGCATTACTTTCGCGATAATATATGCGGACACTTTGATGCTACGGCATCGTGGGTGGTGCGGTCTAAACAAAATGCGATGAAACATTTTGCTACTGCATTTTGTGCAGAAAAACTTCATAAGTTAGCTAAAAGTAATCTTTGAATCATAAATTGTTCCATGTATCTGAAAATAAATGCGATTTCTTCAACTTGGCTTCACTTGAATCGGAACAATTTCGGAAAAAATTTTTCAGTTCTGGTACGGATATCTTCTACACCTGTTTTACTTATTTTGGAGTTCCTCCGTAGTATTATCAACTTAAATAAGAATTTTAGTTCTCTTTTACGTTATAGAATAGGAAATACCTTCGATATGAGACTTCTCCCAATTTCGTCAAAATTAATGCCCATTCCTCTTAATAAACCTACCTAAAATGTTGATTTTCCTTACTGAAAGGCTTTCACTTAATGAATCAAAATAATATGACCAAATGTATGCACCAAGTCAAATTTCGTCATGAAAGTTGCACGGTCTTTAGCGAATACTGTAATTATTTTGAGTTTCAATTTGTTGGACCGTTGATGCAGGTTTTTTGGCGGGAAAAGTCGTATGGGACGATTTAAATTTCGATGGATTAAGTCCCGACGCGGAATCGTTAAAGGATCTGAAGAGAGTCGTCAGAACTCTTCTATAGGGTCTAGTCAAACTTTAGTGAGGACAAAGAGATAAGAGATGAATTAAGCACCTCGATTCCTTATTTGAAACGCGTGGACACGCCCACGCCCTCGTAAGCAGCTGCCTAAATAAGCACAAAGAGAAGCGATCGAGCAGACGGCAGTATAAGTTCGGGCTAACGCTTACCCTCAGAAAGGACGTTTCGGAGGCCACACCGAGACTAATCATATATTATGCCACTGGTGTGGCCCATCAACCTAACGCCACCACAGGCGAGTGAGGGAGTACTAGGTCGCACGACGCCGCTACCGACAACCGCACCATCCGCTTCAAACTTGTAAGGCCTACTATGTTGCTGAAACGGGCTAGGGCCTGGGCAGAAGATTGCGCGAACATCAGCTTGTAGTCATTCACGAGCATAGGCCTTCTCTGCTATAAGAGAAAGAGAGATACGCTTTATTCTGAAAGTATCATTGCAAAATATTCAGCAAAATGTCCTTCATTCACTGTGGATGAAAATCGTTAGGTATAACTGATGACAGTCAAAGATGACAAAATATGCCTGATTGCCGAGTACTGCAGCTGTCGAGAGCATTAAATGATCATCGGTAGCAAAGTTTAGGACAAACTTGAATTTCTTCAAAGACGGGGTGAAAACTAGTAGATAATGAACTGATGTACATATGAGAAAATTTTCATGTATATGGAAGAAAGAAAAATGGCGGCTCAATTTCGAGAGCTCGCCAATGTGGCCCTTGTCAGCAGAGGTAACACACTTTCAACATTTGGAGGGGCTAGGGTGAGGAAGAAAGGCACTTTGGGACTTATCATCAGCCGGGCTGATGACGAACGTCTTGACTGGTTCTCAAAAGTTGGTCGTTGATTGCTGGCGCCACTAACCCTTACATACAGGATGCCCCAAAATTAACTGCACCTTTTAAAAGTTAGGTAATTGCTTTAAAATTTGTTGAGAATTAAAAAAAAGATTTATTACAAAATCAATTGATAATCCAAGGCAAAACACAAGGTGACTCGCAAAGAAACCGAGTGTTTAAGGCCTAAAGGGTTCAAAGTCCAGTGGGCACTGGTATTTGTGTGAAAGTTTGTATGGTACCGCCATCATACAAGGAAAATCCCGAGACTAACAGAAACATAACTTAAAGCTAGGATGACCCTCTGCAAAATGGTTAGGAAGTGGACTGTAGTCGACTGTAAACAAGCCGTCTTTTCCGATGACTTGTCATATAAACTGTTCCATCCGTCAAACACAAAAATGATATTAATTTGACTCCAAGTCGTAGTACGGTTGAGAATGTTGAAGTTCCCAAGTTTAGCATTGCAGTCATGCTTTGGTGAATAATGTCGTTTCAAAGGCCCACTGAACTCTATACACTATCACAGGGCCAACGGGTGAAGGTTTAATATTACAGAGAGGAGATCCTGAAATCAAAATTTGTTTAAAAGGTTGGACAAAATCGTGTGCGCAGGCCGAAATTAGAGAATAATCTTGTTCCGGACATGTCAAGAATTATTGTTATGCAGGAGAGATCCACAGGTCATGCAGCCCTAGAGACCCAGAGGTTGCTGTCAGAGAAATTCCCCGTATCTGGAGGAAAGATATACGGAGAGCAAATAGTCCCGACTCGAACCCAATTGAAAATCTAAGGTCAATTCTTGGATATATGGTTGACAAAAAACTGCCTACTCCTACTGTTGCTGGATTGAAGATATTTCTGTTGGACGCCTGGAGAAGAATCGCCTTGGGAACCCTCCATAATTTGGTTTATTCGATGTCAAGTAAGATATAAGCTGCCC